ACGGGCGTGTCAATGAATGGGTTGATGCAAATACTTGAAATCATGTTTTCTGCTATCGTAGTTCGGACATAAAATTAATAAAATATGACATTCAATCAGTATCAGAAAATGAAGTATGAATATATTAAAATAATCGATAATCTTCACAGATTTATAATCAAATACGTTGTTGTCTCCCAGTATTTATTGGCAATGTGTCAAAATATTGGCGGTGTACATCTTTACGACACAATGGTCAAACATTATGTCTTGTCTATAAACAATTTTTTAACAAACTAACAAAGTAGCATCCAACTGTATTATATAAAGTAGTATGAATATTTCCATGTACACTTCAATACATTTTACAGTCGTTTATTAAATTTTGGTATATCTGGACAATCATCCGGATCATCAGGGGTTAGCAGATTTTCCGTTGTATGATAAATTTGAGTTTTTAATTGGGTATCAATGTACTGCCTTTATCAATATATAGTATCTAGTTCATTTGGCAAAATGTAAATCGTATGTAGAATTGTCATTGTACGGATATTTAACAGAGACTATCTAGAAAATAACAGAATATCATAATAGATATAGACAACGCCTCATACTGTTCCTGACTATTGAAAAGTTGCTGAGTTAAACGGCATTTTGAAAAATTTAACATGGTGACAGTGGAATATATATGTGTATGAAGATGAACTGTCAGTTAAAAAGACACAGTTATAGTTAACCAGGTATGATAGATAAAAATCAAGAACGCACCCGTTGACGTGCTAAGCATATCCCCTCTTGGAAGTATCGGTTAACAGGAATTATGTATCTGACAGACCAGAAAAGTGTTCACACGTTAAAACGTTGACCCAATATACCCAATATGAAGTCATTCTGTAAGATAGTTTATGAGAAAAGTAACAAAAATATTTGACGACCGGAGACGGAAGGACAAACAACGCAGTTGCAATATTGATCCACTTCTAGAGAGGAGGTATAATACAGAAAAGTAAGTAAATAATCATGTGTATCGTAATGAAGAATATTACACTGAAGACAAGCTAATGTAAATTATCTTTTGATATAGAAATCATGCATTTTCATGCTCTAATACTGGCTGCTTCACTTCCTATGAAATGTTATACTACAACGTAATGGACTTATTAATGAGACAATTATGACAAGAATTTGCACGAAACAGCTCTAAATATTCATTGTTTAAACATGCATTATTATAGTAGTTTCTAAGCTAACCCAAGTTGATGTGGGTATGGTTGCGCGTACATATAATGCCTATAGACACAGATTTAACACCCATGCTCTCATGTTATGATTTTTGTATGGAAAATTTGTCGACGAAATAATTATGTTTGGTTATTGTACCGGTATAATGACATGCATATCTTTTATTTTGACCATTCTGTACAATGTAGCGTGACATTGAATTAATCGAAGACTAGGAATTCAAAATTGTCAATGGGTTATCAATTTTGTTGATTCGTATATATGAAAAGGAAACCATAAATACATGTTCTCAACAGACTTATATTTTACTTTAGGCTGCTATGCATGCCGAATTTGTTAGAACCACGAAATCAATTGTCCACAGATATTCTGTTTATTCTCAATCCACGTAACTAAATTAATGTTCACTACACCAATTTTTCAACGAGGAACATTTCAGCTGATTTATATCTTTTTCTCTCCTTGCAACTAAAGTTTGAATGTAAAAGAAAAGGACTTAGAACCGAGATGATAAACCCCTTGTCCTGTTTGATAGATTCAACGGACAAAGAAGTGCACTGAAACATACAGAAAACGTAAAAGAGGTTTACATTTGGCCGTTAGTTTTCTCGTTTGAATTGTTTCACATTTTTTAGTCGGGGCCTCTTATAGCTGACTATACGGTGTGGGTTTTTCATTGTTGAAGGCCGTATGGGGACCTTTTGTTGCTTTTATCTTCGTTATTTGAATTATGGTGGACAGTTGTCTCATTGGCAACATTATATAATCCTTATTTTTATATTATCCCACTTGCTTTATATTTTGTTCATATTTTGTCATGTTGGGCGGGGCCTTTTGAATAATTAAAACTATGCCCAAGCTGTGTTGTCTACATGAAACAATTCAGGACTAATGTCGGACAGAGATTAAAACTATTTCTTATATCAGATTTGTCTTTTTTGTTTCAGTACATTTCTTTAAGTAATTTTCTAGAATACTTTTAAGATGCTATTTTTTGGATTATGAATAAGTTTCTGTCTAACTTTCTCAACATTTCATAAAGGTTTTGGCAAATATTAAATGCCATTTTACGAGTTACCAGCTTTATTAATTTTGATGATTAATATCGTTGCTTTGGGGAAAAAACCCTTGGCTATACCACTGAACTTGACAGCGTAGTCGTGAACGGCGGGAATGATTGCACGACGTTATTGTGATTAAAACTTATTTCAAAGGAATCTAGCGCCATATTTGCAAACGGGACGTTTTCATTAAAAAAAAATCAAGGTTTATGGCTTTTATTGAAAAAAAACAAGCACACGGACCCCTATTTTTTTTCTTTTGCAATCATTCAATTACTGTTTTAAGAACGCTCCGCCAAAATTTTCGAAAAAATCAACGATAAATTTTTTTCTGCACTTCGTTGTAGACGCAAAAATATTGTCAGCTTTTTTATTTCACTCATAGTAATATAAATTCAGGATATAATAATTGAGTTTAACCTTAAATGTGTTACAGCATGGTAATGGCATTGACCAAGGGAGCATTCAACAAAAAAACCCGGTTAAAATATGACTGTTCGTTCAAAAGTATTGCTACTTTTCGTAAAAATCCGTAATTATGACATTTCAGGGTTTTTCCTTCAAATATGCAAATTACGAACCAAAATATCTCAAAAAGTAAGTCATGAAGGTATATTTGTCTTTACATATTTCAAAAGTACACATTGATTTTGACCTTCTATCAAGAAAAGATCAACGAGGGATCTCTACTGTATCGTATGCCCTTAATTGTCTTTCAACTGTTGTGATTCAATGAGTCTAATCAAAGCGTCTGGCGTACCATATACAATTTTGGTATATTTGACAATTCAACTAGTATATCATCGAAAAGAATGTGGAGAAATACAAAAAGAAGAAAAGTATGACTAATTCAAATTATATTCTGACAAAGTGATGCAGATTTTTGTCGATGTCGTGTTGTTAAATCAGATTGCATCTCTCGTAGCATTAATTTATCCTTTATCATAGGTTCAAATAAATGTTTATAGATTGTCGTAACGTTAATACATACATTCAACTAAATTTTGCATAACGATGCAGCTAAACAATGAATTCATAAACATTTATTTTATCTTAGACTTATTCACAACATGAACACATGGTTGTGAAAAAGATAATACATCTTTAAATACAATTCCCAAATATTATATTGAAAATAATGGATAACGGTATTCACAAAACAATCAGTAAATGAATGGCATCAAATTGTGTCAATGAATGATGTGCAGTTCTACAAAAATATTAGAAATTAGATTTCAGTTTTGATGCTTTGACAGAAGATTACAAAAAAAAAATATAAAGAGGATTACATAAATTACCGAAAAATATATAATGTGACCTACCGAATTAGACTTATGACGGGTATGTACTTACATGAGTAATACGACAGGTGCCACATGTCGAGCAGAATCTGCTTACCCTTCTGAGATCATACCCAGTTTATGGTGGCCTACTAATGAAGTCCATATAGTGTGAACATGCATATGCGTTACGTATCTTTTGACATATGTGAACTCCATACTAGGTAACACAGGATATGCTACTGCTGATCGATCGAGAAATTAAAAGTTGTTTAGTTGGAAAGTGAGTATCATCAAGTCTGTCATATATTTTAACTTGAAGACCTTTGTCAATATCGAGGAAAATACCAAATTGTGGAGACCTTTTGGTGTATTTAGTATTTCTAATCTAAAGTTCATTGGAATATATGGATGCAAGCACGCACTGAGTTTTGAGTAGCAGGAGATCATCAATTATATATGAAAATGAAAATAAAGAAATTTTTAAGATCTTTATTTGTCTCTGAAAAGGTTTTTCATGATTTCGTGTTCATATGAGTACAAAAACAAGTCTGCAAATAGGGGTGCACAATGAGTTCCAAATGGAATAACGACTAAAAACGTTTGAAAAGTATTCAAAAGTATCTTTTGTTTTATTGAAAGATACGTATTTTTTAAAGAACTCTTCAATAGATCAATTACTAGCAAACCGTAATAGCTATGAAATTAACATGATGCGGCTAGATGAACATAACAATCAGACGTCGGTTATGAAAAGGTTGAAAGCATCTCTCTGTTGATTGAAGTGCTATGAAATTCCAAATTTAACATTCTGTTTCATTGTTAATCAGAGTTTGACGAAATTGTGATGCGAGGTATACTAGAGCGAAACAGCAAGCCATCTACACAAAAAGAAGAAGAAAAACATGTAGTTCGGAGTACATTTACGCCGGGATTAAAGATCTGACATCATATGTATATAAGAAAACAACATTAAAGGAGAGGCGAAATATACCAAAGAGACATTCAAAACTCATAAGTCGCAAGTAAACTGACAACGCCATGGCTCAAAAGAAAAGAAGAAAAAGACCAATGCAAAAGACAAACAACAGTATACAAAACACAACATAGAAAACTAAAAACTGAGCAACATGAACCTCGGGTGCTCCGAAAGAGTAAGTAGATGCTGTCCACATGTGGCACCCGTGGTCTTGCTCATGTAAGTACAAACCCGGTGTTAAGTCTAATTCGGTAGGTTGCATTCGGGAAAAGGAGGACGGGACTATGGTCACGACGATTGTGGTTATGTAATATAACAACTTCTGCCAATAGTCCGTGTTGGGAGTAGCACAGGAATATGGTGAAGGGTTAAACAAGATTTTATCAGACCTAGCTCCTCTGTTTACCTCGATCCCCTAAATTATAAAAGGTACATAACAGAATATGCAATCAAAAACAATACAGGAAATAATTTTATTTCCGCAACAACAGTCTAATTGGTATAAAAAACCAGTAACAACATATTAAACAATAACATATAAAAAAATGCTAGCAGTAACTGATATCTAGATTAAAGTACACAAATAAAGGCAACAGTAGTATACCGCTGTTCGAAAGTCATAAACTTGATATATAAAATCAGGCCGTTCTACTCTTCACTGTCAGTGGCATTATTTCACAGAACATTTTATGCAACAACGGTATAAACTGTACAGGAATGCGCGATATTGTGTAATATGAACAAAAAAACCTTTAAATGATTTCAATGTAGAAAAACAAAATTAAAAATTAAAACCAAACATAATTATACAAACTTCTTTCAAACATATTACATGAATGAACCTTTAGTCAGACAATTGCAATGAATATCTGGAAGGGATGCTGATACGAAAGTGTATTGAAAACATGTCTCTTACAAAATAACATGTGTCATCGTAATAGTCATTTTTGCTACAAACTATATTTGGCATTTCATTTATGGCAAACAACTTTACAAATACGTTAGGAAAATGTAATAGTACTCCCTAGGGGACATTTAGCACTCCACAGTTAGGCGTGTAGTTTCGCATTTTGGCCCCTGTGGATTTTTCAAATATGAAAGCTAGTGTGCTATGAAATACATTTTTTGGATGGCTGCGGACTACTATAGCCTTCATAGTGGGTTTATATGAACATCAAGATTGTGTAATGTATGTATTATGGGCTGTTTTCTGTATGACAGTCCGTATTTTCATATCCATATTAGACACTATGACAGAAATTATTGTGATTTTTTTCCCAATTTTTTGTCGAACAAATATGTGATTCGACTTTACGAAAAAATGAGGCGACAGATTCACAATTTCTATTTGATCGTTTGGTAGATTTGTGTCAATAGTTTCAGAAAAGGTATCACTCAAAGGGATTCAAATTCTAGTTTCAAGCAAATATTTTGGGGAATATGTGACATTTTAATGCCCCTTTTTTGCAATATTTTATGGTAAATAAACGAAGAATGCTGCCATGGACACACAAAAAAGGAATTATATTTCACCATTCTAACTTTTGAAAATCAAATCTATGGAAGATACTTATTACATACACATGCACATGTATGACACAAACATTGGGCTAAATGTATTAGAAAGCCAGGAATAGAAGATGATTAAACTTTTTTGTGGTTCAATTTTCATTTTATTTCCTAACTGTGGGTGCTACCTAAATGAACTCCCAGACTTGTTTTATAACTTGTTAGGCACAATTTTAATGTATCCATATTTTAAAGCTTTATATCATGTACAACTGTTCTTAGAGGTGTCGAAGTCACTAGGAAATACGCCCAATGATGGACGACGAAAACGACATTTCCTGTTCTGTAGTGTGAGGAATAGCTGGTAACGTACACGGATGTGATGTTTCAATGCGTAAAGTGCATAAACAAAATGTCAGTTTTACGCAATAACCACAAACAACATGGCTGCATGGAATCAATACATGTGTGAACTGGTTTTGTCTGCAAATAAAACAGTTTAACTTGGACTTCAGCTCCATATTTTCTCTTTGCAGTGCCAAAACCCCTACAATTACATTTATTTATTACTACACATATATATGTAATGAAAATTGTTAAAATACATAGTGCAAAATATTCAAATGGCAGTGAAATAACAAAGCCACTGTCATATTGTGTTATTCGCCACACAAAATATGTTGATTTATATTGTGAATGATGCAGGCATAGCAGGATCAGCTCACTCTGTCGACGCACTTATCTTGCCTCTATTTCACAACTCGGGAATATGAAATATGTATCTGTCTGCAAAGTCAAGGAAATGACATAGATTAAAGCATATATGAGACATGTTCCGTTTTTTGAAAGATACATCATTTGCTTATACACACATTATGTTGACCGTGAATATGCTTTGCTTTTATTCTGTTTAAGGATTGTTGTCTGACACGTATTAAACATTCATAATGTTCTTTAACTCACATGGAGTAGAATTAACATAACACTTATTGAATGTTGTTGTTTTGAATTGCATTAAATGAATACCCTAGGCATCAGTAGGATATATAATGACAAATATAACGATTTTTGTTTAACAATTATTTACATCTAAATCGTGAGAAGTCAGCAAAAAAAATCTTTCCAAAGTTTAGGATTCACCCCGATCAATTACATATGATATAAATTTCAGTCCATATGACAGGTGTTTTTACAATAACCAGATCACGAACTATTCAAACAAAACGATATGTCAAATGCATATGTTTGCAAGTATCAAAAAGACAAACAATCGGAAACATCCCGAAAAATGGGACTTAATTTCTCATTATATCAAATATCAATTTCCGGGGTGATCTTGGGTCATCCTGAAGGGTAAGTCGATCTTGCTCCACAAATGCCACCCGTCGTGTGAACTAATCAGGTTAATTGTGATATATGCAGCACATTTAACTCAACACGATAAAGAAAAGGTGCACAGTTGTTAATTACATAATGGATTTCATACATCTACCACAAATTTGAGCAGGCGCCTGTATAGTTTTGAAGACCGTATGTTCAACGCTAAAAGACTTTCACATTGTATTGTAAATTGCTGTTTCATTTAAATTTAAAGTGATATTTATAAAAATAAAAGGGGAGACGCGGAATGATGTCTAATGATAACGCTACCCGTGTGCACAATATACAAAAAGAAAAGGATGGAAATAAATTCAAGTTAGCCGTTTGTCTTATTATGACATGATTTATTTAAAGATTCATTATTGCTGGCATGATGCCATTTCATAGTTATTATGATATGTCAATGTAAGCCAAATACAATTTACAAAACATAAAACCACGGCATTACACTTTATTACTAATTTTGGTTAACACGTAAAAAACAACATCACTGATGCAACTTCAAACTGTCATTATTTGGAAAAAACGCAAGAAGCACATAACTATGATTCACAAATTTTCAAATTTGCTAATGCGATTACAATCCGTTAAATACTCACGTGATTGTGTAGTTTCGTTGGGCGAATTTTTCCCAAAACTTTTACACTGACTGGACAGTTCACTGGCTAATCCTGATTTACTGGCGATGTTATTATGTGTAAATGTGGTCTGTGAGTCTAGTTCATCAGTTCCTGTCATTGATTTTTCTATGTCCTGAACTGTATCATCAGTCCACGGTATACATGTAGCCATTCCTGTAAAAAAATAATTACAAATACATCATCGATCATCATGGCCTGCCCCTTTTTTGTTTAGACATATGTCTTCTTACCAAAGGCAAACGCATGTAGTTAATGATCTAAGAAAAGATAGTATGACCACACGGTTTTGTAAGATTATATAGGGCACACATGTTGCATGTTGCGTAAAGGGCAAACGTCATGCACATTAAGAAGTAACGAAATTTTATAATCTGACTTCAAGTACTATTATTGAATTGCTTGGTCTTCTTTTTTTTTATCCCTATGCATAGATAAACTAAGTGGTATATGGCACAACGTTTCGAAATTTTCGGTTTTTAATGCCCTTCAACTTCATTATTGACATGACCCTCAACTGTTTTGATTCAGGAGCTATTGTTGAATCTTATGTAGACAAATGCAACATGCCCGTCTGACGTCCAAATTAAAACCATGGTATTTTTGATATTTTTTTCGAATGCCCTGTCGTATTTGCGTTTTACGAAGTAGAAGAACCAGAATGTATATCTACCATATATAAGTATAAACCAACCTTTAAAGGGATAATGTCTTTCTTTCTCTGAATTGAGTTAATGCTAAAGCCATTTCAAAAAGTCCCCTTTTCTTTATCAATATAACGTTTTTGCCCAGCGGCGGATCAATGTTATAGAAAATGATGAAGAATTTCATATATAATGATATATAAGGACTGACAATTGTTATTGATGTAATAACCACAGTCCCTTCCACTTTAAAAAAGTAGCTTAAGACATTTAGTTATTAAATAGGATTAATTTTAAAAACCAAATCTTATAAATAAAAAACTTACTTCGTACAAACGAGTTAATAAGAGTTCCTGAATATACGATCCCAAACACCGTTCACTTTGACAGGTATCCAGGTATAGAACAGTTTCCGCTAAAAACTTTTATATCCTTTATCATTGTTGGTTAACACTCATCAAAGTGACATCAAATTGAAATTTAAAAAGAGTTGGTTAACGCAACGGATGTGCGTTCTCTGAGTGGCCAATTTGGTAAACGCAGAACAAAACAAGAAAAAAAAAAAAAAAAAAAAAAACAGGCGAGAGAAACACGAGAAAGAAAGAGAGAAAGAGGGGGATATAAAGATCCACGTTCAACAAACACGTTATTCAGATATTAGCAGATATTAGCAATGCATTAACGTATGCGAATACTAAACAATTCAAGTGGGAACAATGAATGCTAGTTGAGTCGCCCTCTTTGAATAAAGACCTTATTATTATTATTATCATTATTATTATTACTAATGATCGTACGGTTAATATACAAGGATTGATGAATGCAGACGAAGCATGTTTTTTTTTTAAATATTTTGTTCACCTATTAATAAATCATATTTGTTAGTTAATCAAACGAGGAAGATGTAAACGTCTTTTTTGGATAAGAATCATATAGTTACAAAATAAAGGATGTCTAAAAATAGAACAACCGTAATCAGTTCCGAAAATAATATCAAGGTATTGACACAAAATGTAAACAAATATATAATCACACGGTTGAACATATTCTAATATTGGTATTTGCGTTTACAAATCGATATATATATATATATGTACAGTTAGCATGGTTAGTTATTTAAATAAAAACATACATACATGAACATATATATGAGATTATGGTTTACGCCTATGAAACAATAATAAAATCACATGATTGTTATATATATAGGTATTTTTTTTCCCCCACGATTATACTATTTATAGCTATCTGTTTTCCACAAAATCAAAATAATACGCACGTGACATATATTTTAAACATAATGATATCACACGACCGATGAGAATAAAAGGTTCTTGAACCTTTAAGATACATGTGTCCTATGATCTTGTATAAGAATAAGCAAAAGATGGAAACGATATTTAAAAATATGAGTACATGTTTAAGTAATAAGATGTTTAACACTTTCTGTGATAATCGTTAACAGGACATTTTTTTTTGTTTTTTGTTTTTTATTTTAGGAGGGGGCTTATTTTGGTCATCGTATATAATCTTGGAGGACGGGATGTTTCCTTTTACATTCAAATGATTGCCAACTATATCATATAAACATTTCTAGGTTTAGAAAATTAGTTTGCTACATGTAACTGAAACTGAATGTTTGGCCTTGTTTCTGTTCGCACGATTTCAATAAAAAGTAAATTTTAGTCATCCAAAGGTGATGACCAAGGACATATTTATTTCTAATCTACCCACCAAATATACACCTCATTCATATATCATTTGAAAAAGGGAACCTTAGATATAAGAAGATGTGGTATGAGTGCCAATGAGACAACTCTCCATCCAAGTCAAAATTTATAAAAGTAAACCTTGTTCTTTTACAATATGTCGTAAGGTACAGTGATGGTCACATTTTGTTTTAAACTAAGATCCAAGGTCAAATTCAGAAATATTTGATCATTAAATATTTTATTTGATTACAATTTGGAAAATTTGTTTCTTTTCTTTATTCTGTCCTATAGGCCTAACACAATGTAATTGTAGATTTTCTTTAACAACTAAATTTTAAACATTGGTAGCTTATTGCAATTTGTTTTACCAATTACAGACATTGCAAAGGAGTAGGTTCACCAAGGGTCCATATTGGCCCTAACATTCATTGAAATTTAACCTTTGTAATAGAAATAAAAATTTGATGACAAAACATTTCAAAATATCTGTTAAATACAAATTCAACAAGCTCTGACGCATTATAATAAATATGATGTCATTATGAAGTCATTATTGTGCACCCATATGAAGACAATCATAATTTTGACTAACGTTGTGTCTAAATTTCAATAGTTTTTGCTTCAAACAACATTGGCCACATATAAGGACCACCATAATATTTTTTTAGGATGTGTATCTGACCCATATACATCTTTTTATTTGATTTTGGTCGACGGGTGTGGCCAATTTTTTTTTCAGTATGAAATAAACCTTACAAATGCATACAACCAACCAATTTGGTTAAAAACTAGTAAAATTGAAGCTGCCAACATTGTTAAAACAAATATTAGACAACGAAAGTGTTTTGTTTATTGCAATTTGCATATTCAAAATCGTTAATATAGATATTAAAATATGGTAATACAAAGTAAGATTTTTAGTGTCAATATGAGCCCTTCTTGGCCATACTCATTTGATTAAAATATGGATCCCATATCTACTCTTTGTTTAAAAGAAGTTTAACTTTTCGATCATTTAACAAAGCGACGAGCTAAAAATCTAGAACAAAAGAATTAAAGCGTTTGTGAAACGAGATTTTAAAACGAAAATAAGGAGACGTGGTGTGAATGTCAATGAATCAACTACCCAATTCTGACAGTAATGGGTATACAGCTCAAAGATATAAAAGAAACATTCAAACTCATTAGATGACGACAAACTGACCACACCATGGCAACAAACGAAAAAATGACCAAAAGATAAACAGCAGTCTTTAAAACACATCATTGAAAACTTGGCAACACGAACCATGTCAAAACCCAAGGATGATCTCAGAAGCTCCGCAAGGGTGAGCCGATCTAGATACACTCCATCGGGCAAACGCATTTACTCAGAGGTCTTTTTTAATGAACATGGAATATATGCGTCATTTCAGTTTACAAGATAAGATTGAGCATTATTATCAAACTTACACTGTTTCATCACGTGAATATTCAGGCAATGTTAAAAAAATAACTAGCCTAGGATGCTATCAACACGGCAAAATGTGGAAATGTTTTTTTCTTTTTTCGATGATATGTGGCTTATTTCAGTTCACAATATATGCATTCAAATAACACTTATTATAGTTTGGCATATATACATTAAAACAAAATATTTGATTATATAACTATATTTGATATTTGTTATAAATTTAAATTTAGGTCAGAATAAGGCAGAAGATATCAAGGGAACGCTCAACACTCCTAAGGCGAAGACAAACTGACGACGCCTCGATAAAAAAAATAAAAGACAACAAATATCAGATTTCAAACTGAATGGAAAGCTTTTTAATTTACTTTGAAACAGCTTCAAATTAATTTAATTCAACTCTACTGTTTACGTTTTTATCATGTCAATTGAGGACAGTATGTTTAGTACTGTTTATTAACAAGGAGTTTATCTAGAACTCGTCAGTCACTTCACACAAATCTAATTTATTTTTTGCACAAGTATACAGTATCTACTGCACAACCAGACAAAAACAAATGATAAAATCTTATTTAACTCGAAATAACGTACTAATTTGTTCTTAGGTTGGTTTTTTAATCTGTCAAATGGACATCTTCAACATGAATGTACTAGTGTTATTCTGCCTCAGTCACCATAACAAATATTTTGATATAATGTGCCAAAACGCACTACCGACATGTTTTCGCGGAGTTATATTTCTAGATACCAGAATATTCGTTTTATCGGTAAATTCATCGATTTCGTCCTATTTACGATTGTGACATTTTTCTGGATTTGATTGGCGTGTGATGCACCTTGTCCTTTTGGTGTTCGTGTAATTGCCTTAGTTTAACATAATTTACTATATTCTAAATCAGTGTATTTTATTTGAGAATCCGCAAACTTTTTTGCAAACATCATTGCTAAGTACCATAGGTTTTTTTAACATATATTATAGATCTTACATACGGAATATAAATTATTTATCTTATATGATATTAAATTTCTGTGTCATCAGATGATGCAGAAATATCGATTTAAAATCGTGTTTTCGGGTATTAGAGATAAATAATTGATTTCACAGGGCAGTTTTTCATTTTTAATTCCAGCACTAAACAGCACTTTATCACGTACTATAATAATATCACAGAAGGTAAAAGTGCAACAGAGCGAGCCAATTTAACTCTCATTGATAGCGAAACATTGTTCTGTTAAGTGCCAATATGCCTAAGAATCAGGCGGTGGTGAAAACATGACAAACAAAAACCCACTCAAGTTAACATTAATCTATGTTCAAAATGTATAATGGTGTACGAATATATAACATTCTTTTTCTTTTCCTGTTCTGGTAATTTAAGATACAATTTAGCTGAAATGCACTAGAAATTAACAATTAAGGGGAGCTAACTCCGTCATTTGCTATCATTCTAACCAAAAGTTATCTAGAGATTTCTCGATTTACCAGAAACTCAGAAACGAAAGACCTACCATTTCTAACTCAGGATGAGGGTGACTTCAAAATAGGATGGTTAGGTCAGTGGGTTATTTTTGGCCATGTTTTGATTTTGTTCAAAATTGCCTGATTCTTACAATGACTTGCACTTAATGTCTAAATTTGCTAAGATGGTTGTCAGCATATATATTGCCTATGTTTACTCGAAGAGACTTATATACCATTCTCCTATTATATTCGTCAAACAATACATGAAGGCATTATTGGTATTATAACGACTAATGATTATTATTGATATTAGTGATAGTCCATGTAAAAGAAGTAGTAGTAGTAGTAGTAGTAGTAATAGCATCATGATCATCACTGTTCAAAGTTTTTATTCTTGTATTTCACTTTTAAATGTAAACTTCAGTGTATAAAAACATTTAATGTAGGAAAAACGTTTAAACTAATGTTAATATATATTATACCAATAGGTTTAATATACTGTGATCATTTATTATATAGTCCTTGTAACATGAACAGTTAGGGACTAAGCAGACGAATACGTAAAAGGAAAGAAACAATCACAACAATTGGATATATAATGATTAAATATGTTTCACAGTTATATTACCTTTTAGAATACAAATCACTATTAACAGCGTTACAGCTAGTCGTATTAAGTTCTATACACAACTAAGACAATTCAGTAAAATCAGAGCAACACATAAAAGTGTATGAATGTCGATAATAAGAGGGTATAAAAAAGCTTCTCTTTTTTGGTGCTTGTTTTTGGAATTAAACAGCATTGTAATTCACCAAACTAACATACTTCAGATGTTTATAAGATATTTGTCTGTTAACTATCATTTTTAAAATATTTTCATTTTGTCTGGCCAACTTTAAACTTTTTATATATTGTGCAAAACATCAAAAACCGACAAAATAGCCTCATGCTTCAATCCCGTTATTAATATTAAGTTATGAGCAAGAGTTTCCCAAAAAATTATTTATCATGCTACGAAATGTATTTTACAAAAATGTCAATTGCTGAAAATATATTTATTCGGTTAAAGTCCTTGTTCGTATGTATTTGTACCAAAAAACAATGCGTAACATTGCCATTTCAGTTCAAATATATGTTTGTGACGTCAAAATGACTTCACAAGTGACATTTCTGCATTAAAGTTTCAAGATTAAAGCAACTGGTCCAATTATAAAATGAAATAGCAAAATGTTGAAGGATTGAAAAGATTACCTATTGGTCAGAGCATAGTTCTTGCCTTGGTTTAAACGAAGAGACTGATAGACAATCTTTCAAGTTTTTGATATGAATTAGAAAAAAGCCATGCATACTTAGCACGATGCGCAAGTTTCGTGTATCTATATGATGAATTCAACTATCTTATTCTATTCTAAAAATGCAGCTATAAGAACACAGTTTTAAGATTTAAATGGAACAATTACAAATGGGGCAATTTAAAATCATTTCCAATTAAAACAAACAACTTCTCGGTCTTAATTGAAAATAACGAAACGAAGGACAACAATAGCAAAACAT